ATAAAGGGCCCAGGATGTCTAAAGGGCCCAGGATATGTAAAGGGCCCGGGATATGTAAAGGGCCCGGGATGTGTAAAGGGCCCGGGATATCTAAAGGGCCCAGGATATTTAAAGGGCCCAGGATATGTAAAGGGCCCAGGATATGTAAAGGGCCCAGGATATGTAAAGGGCCCAGGATATGTAAAGGGCCCATGATATGTAAAGGGCCCAGGATATGTAAAGGGCCCAGGATATGTAAAGGGCCCAGGGCAGTGAGGGCTCAAGCAAAATATCTAGTAATCGCTGTCTTTATGACTAACTGTGAGCCCGAGCCCTGCGCTGCACAGGGACCACTGCACTTCTGCTGCATCTGTGCCGCCTCCTCCCAGTGTCGGCTGCAGCTCTCGTTCTTTTTACACTGAGTCGGATCCTCGATGCAACCTGTCAATCAGTCCAGTAGGTGTGTCAGCAACTGACCAATCGCGGCCTCAATTTGTCTCGAAGTAAACGCCCCTTACCTGCAGATATGCAGCCCATCAGGTTTTTATTTCTAGAACTTTATTAACAACACAAAACAGAACAATGCAACAATATATAAATACAAACTCGTGAAGGGTGTCATAACTACATTTCACAAAATAATGAAAGAAGACAAAATAAACATAAGAAATAAAACAAAAAGGAGCGTGACAATATGAAAAACATTGTTTTAATAAAAACAATGTTTTTCTCTGTTGTGTAATGGTTTTAGCAGTTTTGCAGTTTTTTAACCTACTTAATGAAGAATATCAAAATCATTCATCAAACAGGAAGGAAGGCTCGTTATCCCTCCTCTTACTACAGTGAACGTGGTACTTTGCTATAAGTACGACTATGTTTATGGCATCAGAGGAAGCTGAGCTTCAGTTACCCACATAAAGTGAAATGTCATCAGCATGAAAAGAAGGAATGTTGAGTTTGAGATTAATCCAGTTTCTGATGTTTGATCAAACTCTTTGTACTGACATAAAAAAATGACTCGAGGGATTCATCTTCTGATTTACAACAGGCACACAAATCAACATCAAATTTAAATCTTCTTTCAAGAAACATGGCTGCAGGCTGTATCTTATTTATCATTTTAACATGATTCTCCTTCACTTTAGGAGATTTAGGCCATTGGACAAATTTAGAATGAGCAGAAGTCATTCTGGTTTTATGATTTATACTGGGAGGTTTCATGAAATGCTAAATGGACTGTACTTATACAACTCCTTTCTGTCTCATCCAGACACTCAAAGCTCTTTACAACAATCTGTGCCTCATTGACCCATTCACACAGCTCTATACTAGATCTCTACAAAGATAATTGAACTAGTCATTCTAAAGAGACTAATCAGAGCTTCATCACATTCAGACACTGATGGACACACATCAGAGGCAACGAGGGGTTCAGTGTCTTGCCCAGGGACACTTCAGCATGTGACTGCTGCTGGATTTGAACCCCCAACTCCTGCATTGGAGGACGACTGCTCTAACCACTCAGCCACAGCCGCCCCGAAGGAATCTTTGTTATAATCATTGATAATCTTGTTACATTTGAAGTCAACTCACTTACAATCAATTAGTTTTAATGTGGGCGTCAAATCGTCACCTTTGAATATGTAATGATATTTTTAATTAACTGAATCAAAACTACGGGGATTGTCTTAATTTCTTCTTAAAATCTGTATGACAACAGCTAAGGTGACATTTTCCAACAAAGAATTAGAACTTTGAAAGATCTCCATTACAATCTAAAAGATCCTTTAAATCATGGTTTTGCTTTACAGACGCTTTGCAGTCAGAGGGATTTTGTGAAAATCATCAGTAAAAAAAGGTTAAACGTGTAATTCAGATGTTACCCTGAGCCTTTAGAGGGTGGAACACAGTTTATTCCATTTCAAAAACTAAATGAAGTTTGGAAAAATGTAAAAAGCCGGTGGCCGACCACATGAGCAGCTGATTACAACAGATATAAACAGGAAGTACTTTAACTTAGGCTACACTGTTTCTCAGACTGTGGCTAAGATGTGTGAGAGAAGCGGAATGTGCTCTATTCACACAAGGAGAGCTGTTGGTCAGGCTACTTCTTGTTGTGCCATTAACTCTAAAACTGTTACTGAATCAAGTGTTACTTATGCAGGTCAAACTAGATGTTAAACAACCGTTAAAATACACCAGAATGTAGGAAATGGCATCTAATTTATTCAAAATTTTCTGGGGGAGGACCCCCCAGACCCCCCTCCCCCACCTCCTCTGGACGTGTCCAAAGCACTGTCCCTCCTCTCGACGTGTCCAAACCACTGTCCCTCCTCTGGACATGTCCAAACCACTGTCCCTCCTCTGGACATGTCCAAAGCACTGTCCTTCCTCTGGACATGTCCAAACCACTGTCCCTCCTCTGGACATGTCCAAACCACTGTCCCTCCTATGGACATGTCCAAAGCACTGTCCTTCCTCTGGACATGTCCAAAGCACTGTCCCTCATCTGGACATGTCCAAAGCACTGTCCCTCCTCTGGACATGTCCAAAGCACTGTCCCTCCTCTGGACGTGTCCAATGCACTGTCCCTCCTCTGGACGTGTCCAAACCACTGTCCCTCCTCTGGACGTGTCCAAACCACTCTCCCTCCTCTGGACGTGTCCAAACCACTCTCCCTCCTCTGGACATGTCCAAACCACTCTCCCTCCTCTGGACATGTCCAAACCACTCTCCCTCCTCTGGACATGTCCAAACCACTCTCCCTCCTCTGGACATGTCCAAGCCACTGTCCCTCCTCTGGACATGTCCAAACCATCTCAGTGTGTCCTCTCTAACTTTATCTCCCAGTTGTTCAACCTGTGCTGTACCTCTGATGATCTCATTCCTGATCTTCTCCATCCTTGTCTCTCCTCAGGAGAACCTCAACATCTTCATTTCTGACACTTCCAGTTCTGTCTCCTGTCTTTTTGTCCATGTCTCTGTCTCCAGACAGTTCCACTGAAAACTGAAAACTGTTGGATTGTATACCTGGATTATTGAGCATGGACTTTGTTGTTTTCAACCAGTTTGACAAGACAAGGAAGAGGGCCGGCAATGGAGGAGGGGCGTACCAAAGAGACCATCTTATCACAAGCAGAACTGGTTTGTTCCACTTTGGAGTAAGTTGTTGGGGGAAGAATCAGTTTTGTTGTGTGTTTCCTCGACTGATGAAGCCTTCTGGATCGAAGGCGAAACGTTTCAACACAAAAAAAAGAAACTGTCCAGATGAGCTGACTGAAAAATGTTGGATTGTAAACCTGGATTATTGAGCATGGACTTTGTTGATTCCATTAAAACAATTTTATGTCTCAACTTGTTCTTTTTGTACCTGCAAAATGTGAACTCGATGTCAGTATCGTTTTCTGCAGTAACAAACAATCTTTTGGGTGAATTAAAGTTTATTTAAAATTGTTTTACAAAATATATCAGATTAAAATTATTGTAACCACTGGGAGTGGTGGTGCAGAGGTTGGAGAAGGTGGGCCTGTGATCAGACGATCGTCGGTTCAACTCCTAGTACTGACAACATCAAAATGTGGGTGGGAAGGTGAAGCACCGACACCTGCCACCACCCTCATTTGCCTCGCTCTGGGCCCTTGAGCAAGGCCCTTACCCCCACCATCTGCTCCCCTGGGCGCCCTCATTAGCAGCTCTCTGCCCCACACAGAGGCTGTGGTAGCTCAGTGGTCTGTGGTTGTCAGGAAGGACATCTGGCGTAAAAATAAATGCCAAGTCTTCGTGGGAATGAGTTTGCTGTGGTGACCCCTGACGAAGGGAACAGCCGAAATAAAAAATATATGATTGTAACCATTGACAAGCTTCGGAAAATTCATCACAACATGAATGTCAGACTGATTGGTAACTCTAAATTGTCCCTAGGTGTGAATGAGATGATTGTCTCGTTTGTCTCAATGTCCCTGTGATGGACTGGAGACCTGTCCAGAGTGTCCCCTGCCTCTCAAATATTGACTGCTGGATATGAACACGGGGCAGCACGGTGGCACAACTGGTAGAGCTGCTGCCTCTCAGCGAGCAGGTCCCAGGTTCAAACCCCGGTCCAGGGGCCTTTCTGGGTGGAGTTTGCATGTTCTCTCCGTGCATGCGTGGGTTTTCTCCAGGTGCTCCGGTTTCCTCCCACAGACCAAAAACATGCATGTTAGGCTGATTGGTAACTCTAAATTGTCCCTAGGTGTGAGTGAGAGAGTGAATGGTTGTTTGTCTCTATGTGTCCCTGTGATGGACTGGAGACCCGTCCAGGGTGTCCCCCGCCCCTCGCACAGTGACTGCTGGACATGGGCACCAGCGACCCCCGTGACCCAAAATGGAATAAGCGCGTAAAGACAATGGATGGATGGATATGAACACCAGTGACCCCTGTGACCCGAAAGGGAAGAGGCAGGTAAAGATCATGGATGGATGGATCATGGTTGGATGGATCATGGTTGGATGGATCATGGTTGGATGGATGGCTGTTTACAGAAAGTTTCATTACAAACATGAAAAATATGTAAACAATTTGCCAATTTTTGTTTTGAATAAAAAACATTTACATTTTTTATGGAAATTTAGAGCATTATTAAATCAAAATTATGAGTTTTTATCTTGTAACTGTCCTAATTTATCATTTATAATCTTGGTAATTTGACAGTTTTGTCAGCTACTTCACAAACGACATAATTTAACAAACCTCTTTCATAAACTTTGTTAGCATACCTAATGAGAACTCAAGACAAGTTTATAATCACCATGTAATATCTGAGCTGTGCTATACTTGTTGTACTAGTCATATCAAAATGTTTTAGAAGTTCAGCAGTTAAACGAGCCGTGTTGTCCGGCCAGCCTGCAGATCTTTGTACTAACCAAAGAAAACACTGTTTATGTGCACGCCTGTGTCAAACAACTACCAGGACTAGTAGACAAAAAGAACATGAGAGAACTATCAGCAGAGCTGAGATCAGCAGGCTACATGCAGAGAATCTCAAACTGACAGGTGCCCTAACTTCAGACCCTGTCACATATGAATGATACACCACTGACCACAACACCCCATGATGCAGAACTGACCACAACAACCCATGATACAGAACTGACCACAACACCCCATGATACAGAACTGACCACAACACCCCAAGATACAGAACTGACCACAACACCCCATGATACACCACTGACCACAACACCCCATGATACAGAACTGACCACAACACCCCATGATACACCACTGACCACAACACCCCAAGATACAGAACTGACCACAACACCCCAAGATGCTGCCAACGAAGTGACAAGTGTCAACGCAGCACAGCTGATGAAACGTTAAGTTTTAAAGGTAAGGAGCCACATGCTAGCATAGCTAGCCTGCAAGCTAGCTGACAAATATCACCAGTCATGTCAAAACGATAAAGTGAAGGACTCGGGAAGGACACTTGTTCCGTTCAACAACACCTTTAAAGTAAGTTCAGTTACAAACCGTAGCACAGAACCCTGAAGGACAGTTTCGGTGAATCCGTAACTATGATGGTCTGAAGATTTGCCTCAAGAAACAGTTCCGACACACTAGAAACAGTGTTTTGGAATTGTTAGCCAATCAGAGCAGAGAAACTTTGTCGTCCATCCAATCACGTATAGGTAGAGGCGGGACTAGTTTTAATGTCGTCATCACTGAACTAGAAAAACAATGGAACGGTGCTTGATAAATCAATGTGTAATGTATGCTAGCCAGACGAGAACTTGAGCCGCCATGTTGAGAAGAGCTTTTGTAGTAAATGTCTGAAGGAGGCGCCAGAAAGTCATAAAATAAACTCAGCGAAGAAATTCAGTGAGTTTTTATCAATTCTTATACATTTTGGAACACTTATTTTGTATTTGTTTATTTTTAGATAATTTGGGCTTCCAGCTCATGAAACCAGTCTTCTCACTCTTCCCCCAGACATCTCGTAATATTGACTCTTCAGGCCTTCAAATCGTTATAACTCGAGGAACCCAGAGTGGTATGAGACCCGGAACGAGTCAGACACAAGTGAGTACAAAAGTAACAGGTTTGTCATTTACAGTAGATAAACAGTTGCTTCTCTGGAACTCCTGGAAGAGGAGGGAGATGATCAGAAGAGGTCGGCAGGTGAATAGGCAACGTTAATGTGAAGATGTGTTCTCTCTTACAGATGGCTTCGAGTCCAACTCCAAATCCTCAGAAGAGCTCCAGAGGGGGACAAGGCCAGTGGTCCAGCAGAGTGAGGAAGGCCAGCAACTGGTGTTAGGCAAGGCACGAGGAGATTCAGGACGAGGCTCCAGGAGAACCAGGGTAGGACCAGGGGACCCAAGACCAAGGAGGCAGGAATGTTGGACAAGAAGAGACTGGTAAGTATGTAAATTTACAGGCTGGAGACAACAATACCATTAGATGGTCAATGCTCCAGCGAAGAGTAACACTGGACTGCAGCCTTATGTAGGAGATGATCTTCATCAGGATGATGGCCGACAGCTGTTGATAATTAGCGGCCATCTTGGATGAGGAGCTGCAGGCAGTGATGCTCTTACACAAATCACAACTCAAAACTGTTTGAGTTAGCCTTCTCACTTTTATTTTTTTCTTTTATACTTGGTTTAGTGTTTTTATAGCCATTTTGTATTGTTTTATTTTGTGTTTATTTTCTTCTGTTTTACGTTTCTGTTAATTTTCTTATTTAAATTGTTACATTTAATGTCAGTGAGGGGAATCAACTGATTTGTTAGAATCATAAATAGATTCAATTTTCAAGACAGTTTATTAACCACAAAGATAAATCAAATGTTTGACTTAGATAAAAAGTGTCTGACACGGGGTTCACTCAGGTCTCAGGTTTAGTAATGATCTGAAAGTCCAGTGTGCATTGCACAAGTCAGCACAATCAGCAAAACTGACAAAACTGATTAATATCTGTTTAGAAATGTTATTTGCTTAAATCATCTCTCCCTCCCTCCCTCCCCCTCTCTCTCTCTCTCTCTCTCTCTCTCTCTCTCTCTCTCTCTCTCTCTCTCTCTCTTTCTCTTTCACACACACACACACGCACGCACGCACGCACACACACACACACACACACACAGTGTGGTCAGCAGCTGTATGTGTGTGGGCAGTGTACGGCTCTTCACTGTCACTCTCCAAACCTGGCCACAGCTCCAAGCACAGTTCCAAAAGGTTTGCACTTGGAAACCAAAGTGTGTCTAATCCTGTTGTTTCCTGATTACATTACATTACATTACATTCTTATTTGACCTTTTTAATATTTTCTCAAATTAGATCAACTGAAGTAATGTAGTCCAAATCTAATCTAATCTAATCTAATATAATCAGGAAACAACACAGCACAACAACTGCTTCACTGAAGGTTCTTCAATCAATCAATCAACCTTTATTTCTACAGGTAAATCCCATTGAGCCTCGAGGACTCATTTACAAGAGAGACCTGATTTAACAAAGAAAGATGACAACAATGGACAACAGCAACAACAATAAACAGTTATAAAAAGTCATACTTCAGTTTGTTTGTTTTTTTTTCTTCTTAATGATGTTGTTGAAGCACTGGATGCTAAGGATTATTGTGCTGCACTTTTCTTAGACCTGTCTAAAGATTCTGACTCTGTGGATCAGAACATCTTGTGTCATAAACTCTCAGAAATTGGTTTCTCAGATCACACCATTGGTTGGTTCTCTAACTATCTTTCAGACCGGAGGCAATGTGTTCAACATAATGGTACTTCCTCCAGATATTTAACAGTCAACAATGGTGTACCACAAGGCTCAGTCTTAGGACCCACCCTCTTTACAATCTACATACATAATGTAGGTCAGATCATCCCTGATGCATCCATATATTTCTATGCTGATGACACAGTTGTTTATTGTCTAGCTAAAACTGTTGCTGAGGCTTTCCAGCTTTTGAAATCTGTTTTTTACATCATCCAGACAGATTTGTTTCGCCTCAAACTTGTCCTAAACACTGATAAAACCAAAAGGATGCTTTTTTCAAATAGGAACTTAGCCCCATCAGTTCTTCCTCTGATTTTATCCTCAAATGGTGTCCCTATTGAATTTGTCTAATCCTACAAATATTTGTGTATCTTGGTCGACTCGTATCTCTCCTTTAAGATTCACGTGGAAAACTTGGTAAAGAAACTGAAAGTTAAACTGGTTTCTTTTTCAGAAACAGATCCTGTCTAACCCTGAATGCTAGAAAACACCTTGTATCTGTGACTTTCCTTCCCTCCATTGATTACGGTGACATTATTTACATGAACGCTCCTACAAGAACCCTGCAGATGTTGGATGCTGCAGATTTTGGATGCTGCAGATGTTGGATGCTGCAGATGTTGGATGCTGCAGATGTTGGATGCTGCAGATGTTGGATGCTGTCTATCATGGTGCACTAAGATTCATAACTGGCTGTAACTACCGTACCCACCACTGCACCCAGTATTCACTGGTTAACTGGTCACCATTAACTTCACACAGACTCTCTCACTGGTACATTTTCATCTTTAAATCACTTCTTGGTCTGCTGCCTTCATACATCTCCTCCTACATGTCTCTGTGTGAGTGCAGCTACAGCGTGCGCTCTCAGGACATCATTACCTGCAGTGTTCCCTCAGTGAGGACTGAACTAGACAAAAGGGCCTTCTCCTGCTCCGCTCCTGTTTCCTGGAATATCTTGTAAAAAGATCTGAAGCTCTCGACCTTTGACCTCTCTAAGTGGCTTTATTTTTTCTTTTAGCCATCCTATTTGTTATAAAAAATTACAAAAAAATTAAAAAAACTGCAGTATGACTTTTTATAACTGTTTATTGTTGTTGCTGTTGTCCATTGTTGTCATCATTCTTTGTTGAAATCAGGTCTCTCTTGTAAATGGTAGATGGTCCTCTAGTCCTGATCCTGGTTCTGCTAAAGGTTTCTTCCTCATGAGGGAGTTTTTCTTTCCACTGTCGCCTTCGTGCTTGTTCAAGATGAGAGTTCAGTGATGGAGTTAAACTCAAAGCTGCTCCTCAGATAAATAATGTTCAAATATTATTTCATACATGAATGTTTCTGTTCAGTCCCTGAGACGACTTCTGTTGTGACTTTGAGCTTTAGAAATAAACTGAATTGAATTGAAACAGAATAGAGCACTATTGTAGAAGGTAGGACCTACTATTGTAGGTCTGGAAACAGAGGAGCTGAGTAGGACAAGAAAAAAGCTGGTTGCTGGTATTAAAAAGGCCAAGGCCACATATGCACAGAGGATTGAGGGTCAATTCATCTCACAAGACCCTCAGAGCAGAGGGGCATTAAGTGCATAACAGATTATAAAGGAAGAAGCGAACAATGCCCCAAAGACCCATCTCTGCCTGATGCCCTCAACAAGTTCTATGCACGTTTTGAAGACCTGAACAGACCACCCAGCACCGGATGAAGAGCATCTCAGCGTGACCTCAGCCGAAGTAAGGAGTACTTTCAGGAGGATTAATCCGCACAAGGCAACTGGCCCAGACAACATCCCCAGAAAAGTGTTGAAGGAATGTGCTGATCAGCTCTGTGAGGTGCTGGCAGACATCTTTAACACCTCACTTACCCTGAAGACAGTTCCCACCTGCCTGAAGACTGCCACCATCATCCCAGTCCCAAAAAGCTCTACAGTGACTGGTCTGAATGACTATCGGCCAGTGGCCCTCACCCCGATAGTCGCTAAATGCTTTGAAAAACTGATCATGACTCACATCAAAACAACCATCAACATCAACGAGGACCCTCATCAGTACGCATACCGTGAGAACCGATCAACAGAGGATGCAATCTCCTCTGTGGTCCACACTGCACTCAACCACCTGGAGCAGAAAAACTCTTACGTCCGTATGCTCTTTGTGGACTTCACATCCGCCTTCAACACCATGATCCCCCAAACCCTGATGGACAAACTATCCACACTAGGACTAAGCCCCTCCATCTGCAACTGGGTACTAGACTTTTTAACAAACAGACCACAGTTAGTGAGGATCCACAACCTCTCCTCCTCCACCATAACCCTCAGCACTGGCTCTCCTCAGGGATGTGTGTTGAGCCCCCTCCTGTTTACTCTGCTCACGTATGATTGTGCAGCTACCCATCCAGGCTGTCACATTGTAAAGTTTGCAGATGATACAGCGGTGGTGGGATGCATCACAAACAATGATGAGTCCAGCTACAGGCAAGAGGTGGAACACCTGGAGAGCTGGTGCAGAGAGAATAACCTTCACATCAATGTGAAGAAGACAAAGGAGATGATTGTGGACTTCAGAAGGAACAAAAACACCTACACCCCCCTGAACATAAGAGGATCTGCGGTGGAAGTGGTCTCCAGCTACAAGTACTTGGGTGTACACATGAATGACAACCTCAGCTGGAGCAACAACACCACCAGCCTGAATAATCACTGTGAAAAATCACATCATGTTGCTGCTGATCTGTTTCATGTTGCTGCTGATCTGTTTCAATGTTGATGTGTTCATGCGTGCACATCTGCTCACAGACTCATGTTCATGTTTGTGCTGATGT